ATTTTTAAATACAGTTGAATCTGGATTATCCGTACCTCAATTATCCGGATTTTTTCTCTAGTCCCAACTTTGTCATGAATATTTATTAGTCACAATCAAGATACAAGCCTTAGTGTGGTTCCTAACGTGATAAAGTTTCTTGGCACGGAAGGCGACCTTGGTGATGACCAAGGAGTGGTCAGAATCACAGTCAGCACTGTGAAATACATGGGTTGTACAAATGGTGTGTAGATTGTCCGATAATGCCAATACATTTTTAAATACAGTCGAATCTGGATTATCCGTACCTCAATTATCCGGATTTTTTCTCTAGTCCCAACTTTGTCATGAATATTTATTAGTCACAATCAAGATCCGTAGCAACATATTTTTTTAAAACTATAGCATTGAAAGGTGCAGTCAAAAGCGAGTTTGTTTTGCTTTTAAAGAGCAAAAGCATCGTAACCGATGAAGAACACTCGAATGAGTTCTGATTGGCTCAGAGTTGAGTGGTTCAAGATGTGCAGTAGACCATATTGTTTTCCAAACGATTTGTAAAAGTGTTGTTTTACGGTTAAATGTTGCTTTATTTAAACAGTTTTGTTCTTCATTAATATTCACATTTTCGATTATCTGGACCCTGGATTATCCAGACTATTTTGTCTAGTCCCAATGAGTCCGAATAATTGAGGTTTGACTGTAAAACAAAAGTGAAACTTACATGTCGACACTTATGCGAGTCAAAGATCATTTACCACATAATAATAGGAAATGTTTTGTTTATGCTAAAATTATATTTGTAAAGTTTTGAGGTGGGGAGCAAACCACATAGTCAATGACTGGAAAGCTAATGATGAGGTTTCTTCAATCAGTAAAATTCCATGGCAACCACTACTTAGCTTCACCACTTGTAATAATTTATTAATTTATTCAGCTTTAAAAACCATTACAGGAAAGTTATCACCTTTCACACTGTTCAATAAAACTAAAATACAATCTGAATTTTATTACTCTCTTTCATAAGGAAAGCAATCTACTGCCATGAAAGATACAAGCAATTATAACACTCAGAAAATTTAACATAACTATTCACATACGTTTACCTTTAGCTACTTACAGTGTTATTGTTTATGTTTACAACTCACGAAGCTTGTTTACCAACCTGTATAGATGTCTATTTTCTGTGAGGAAGCATCTCTAGAAAGAAAAAATAATTAAACAACAAAAATAAACTCTGAATAAACTGATGACACAGTCAATGAGCAAGCCTACTAAATTTGCAATAACAATGAAGTCAATACTATCATAAGGCAGGTGATATGTCCACTCTATTTATTTTGAGTCCTAGTCAATCATTTTACAATTCTTATTAACAGCCAGATACAGGATAATGGAACAGAAGTGGGCCAAATCACTGTCATAAGTTTGAACACTATCATCATAATATGAATCTAAACAACAAGGATTGTAATTTCCGTTCGTTTAGGACTCTCAACTCTATGCTTAATCATTCCGTCCTCCGTTTTAACGAAAATAGAACCGACATGACGTCGGTCAAAAAATGGCAAACCGCTAAAAGTAGGGGAAGTGTCAAGATATCAAATGTCAGTAAAGAAGCGCTTATAATCCTAGCCGATGAATATCTAGCAGTCTTAGCTCTCACATGTAAATACTCAATTCACCGTAAAGTGCCCTTACGATAAACTTGCTTGACTAAGCATTTTCAGATTTCATTCAATGGTTTACCTTGCGTTGTCGACCAACTCCGCCAAAGCGCCAAAGAGGAATTCATGAGTAGTACTGCAGTTGATAGAAGTAAAGAACGAGTTATAAATTCATACAATTAACACTTTATATACTCAAAACAAGTCTGGGTTACACGCTTCTAGCTAGAGGGCAAAAAATTTGCAAGTCCTACGCACCATTTTCATGCGTCGATGAAAGTTGCTGACTTGCGAGTTTAGTAACTCGATAGTCATGTTGAACACATTCATCTGCTATCTACAACACCACAAAGCTTATTCCTTGCACGCGTCTGCTAACGTAGAAACGATTCGGAAACTCCATAGACGAATTGTCCACGTTTTGTGTATGTAAATATTAATCAATTCTCCCTTGGTGCGCATTAAATGGTCAAACATGTGCGTGCGTATGGGCTTACGAGCGATCCAAATACCCGTACACATGGTTTCAAAAACCTAGTCAAGGTGAATATTTCGCTCAACATTAAAGCGGCGGCAAATAGCGGGAAAGCGGCGGTAAACTTTTGTCGTGGCTACCTGTTGGTGTGCAGATAATCGTAGGTCAGCTGGGCCCTACGAAGAGAAGAATATACACCGCTTGTCATTTCGTCGTTGGACTTCACCTCGCGCCAGTCGACTGCTTCTGTCTCCTGATCCTTCACTTGAGAAATGGTGTCCCGTCCTAATTTGAGATTACCCCCAACCTCTCTAAAATGCAAAACAAACTCGTTGGTTTAGAGATAGGGGCGTCACTAACAGCATAAGCCGAGCTGGCAAGTTGCAGCCCTGAAGCACTCTCTAACAACAAGGAGGTCGCTCTGCAAAATATACATGAACATCGACATACGGGTGTCAAAACTATTACAATGTGACTCTCATGCGCGCGAAGGCAAAGAGTTGTCGCCATTTAATTGGCTAATATGCTCAGAATTGACAGGGCTATAGTCTTTTCTGAAATCTCATTGGCCTCTTTTAAATATGACGCAATCGCGTTGGGATACCGCGCCCGCCATTGTGACAAATATTTCGGTTTGAAGCCATTTCGTGGTCGCTCAAAGAGTGAATTGTGCGTGAAGATCGTCTCATTTTAACCTAATTTTTCTCTTCTGTACTAGTGTCAAGGAGTGTCCACATGAAACGCCCTTTGGTAAGTCGAAATTTTGGCTCGATAAGCAGAGGTAAAGGATTGTGTTCGTCCGGATTGAAATCCGAGATGAAACGGTAAGATTGTATTGTTCATGGATTCTTGTTTGCTTGACATGTCATGAGTGTGCTAGCTGCGTTTGAGATTGTTGTGTCGATATTTCTTTGCTAGACAATGCGAAAAATATCCCGAGTTTAGTTGTCTTTAGTGTGAGAAAGGGTTGGCAGTAAGGATGTGATGAACAGGACCGAATGGAAAATTTCCTTTGTTGTGTCTTTCTTAAGATATTGATTAAGCATATTAATGATTAGGAAAAGGTTGACAGAACACCTGGTACATGTAGTGAATGTCTTCATTATGTCCAATATCTCACAACATTTCGCTGATCCAACTCTAGCAAGTGTCTACTTTAGTGTCGACATTGCGGCAATCGACACTGTTTACTTTACTGTTTAGCTTTCATACAGCGAACTACATGATGCAACTGCCACTAACTTCTCTCGAGAGAGTACGGTAATCTTTGAACCTTGATCATTCAATGGACCTAAGGCATATTTTTCCACATATCATCTGCTAGAATGTTCGTTACGCTTTACATAGTGTTGCTAAAGATCCAGCGTAGTTTTAAATATAACGAATTCATCACCAACCTTGTCATCACGATATGGTTGGCGGTATTTATCAGACATATTGACTATATTTTAGTCGCAAAGTCGGGAGAATTTATAGCAGAGCTTTAAAACGCTTGCTTTTAGTTTTGGCGAGGTTTGCAAAGTTTTTGTAAAATATCTTGATCAAAGTAATCCAAACCACGACGCGTCTGCTCATTCAACCGTGTGTCAGTCACGCGCTATGAAAGATATGACGTATGAAAGTGAAAGGGGAGCTTGGTCTTTGTCTCTGCACAGAATCTATTCATAAACACTGAAAGATCCTTGGAGGAAAGTGAAAGCACGAGACTTGACAGAAAGTGATGACAGATGCTTTTGCTTTCGACCAGGGGGCATACCACATGTCAAAGTATTTCCTGTCGGCACGACAAAGTAAGCGCAAAGTTCGCCTTTTGATAGTTAAAAATAGACATAGAACAAATGAAACATAAACAGCAAGCCCCTGTCATTCCACAGTCGACTGCCCATGGATAATGATAAGTTGTTATGATCTTTCTGAGAAGGAAATGTCACTTAGAATTCGTAGTTTGTCTTTTCTTTCCTTTTATCTTTCTGATTTTGCCATTTTCATTTTCTTCTCTGTCACCTAAAGGCTGGTTTTTACTTGGGTTTGTGAATAAGCATAAGCTGACATATTTTGTGCTCAACTTGTGAAAAACAGCCTTGATGCCACCGACAGTATGGTGCTGTTTTGAATTAAAGGTCCTAATGATTCGACTGCCGATTCCTTTAAAGAATCCAATTTGTATGTTGAATGGTTTAAGGTTTCTCAAATGAAAAGGAGAGAAACTCGACCTTTTTTACCATTTCCTCTTGGAATGAGTGTGAAAATGTGTATAACTGTAGCATTTTCCCGCGGTGCTGTGTGAGCTCATGGGCAGGCCACGTTCCACTTAGACCATTTTTCTTTCTCTCCTCTGATTCTTGTTTTGAATTTCCTTGCTGTGATGTTTTGTAGCTTTACTTGAGGTGGGAGGTCTTATCCTCGTGCAATGTTGTAAAATTCCCTTACATATTCTTTTATTCGGACAACTCTTCTGGTTGTTGTCTGTCGAAATGGAAAATAAATGAGATGGTGTTGTTTTCTTTCGCCCGAAGAGAAACTCTCTGTCTGCCTGCTGTTACCTTTGCACCCCGGATGGCTTGAAAGAGTATTTTTTTGCAGATGATTGATTCTCTACGTCAATGTGTTGTACTGTCACATGATGCCCACGAAACAAAAATACGTTATCCTTTTTTTCTAGGAGAATAAACAGGAACATTCTCATTTCCTAGCGCCGTGCAACGCAGTTACGTAATATGAAAAAAATTTCCTGCAACAAGCAGATATTTTTCGTGGAAATGAAATAGCCATTCTGTGTTTTTTTTTCTTTTTGTTTTTCAATAATAACCCTCCAACTCATAAAGACTGCAACCTTAGGGTGAGTGATGGCTTTATGATAGATATTATCTTCAAAGGTGCGTGCGATCGATAGTATTTCTTAAGCGGAAATTTTCAACGGTCTTCAAGGCTTCAGAAGTAGCTTAAAGTCAGTTTTGCGCATATGATTCAAAATCGAGACAAAATAGTCGGCCCCTTGAATTCACTCCCGACAAATTCAGTGTTATGTCTAGCTGAAGCCGGACTGCAGCGAATAATTTAGGAGCTTTAATCAAAGATAGTGAGCGCCTGTGTTGCCTCATTTACATACCAGATGTGACATCTGGCAACACCTACTTTCAACTGAAACCTCTGTGTAGTGGCAAGCCGAAAATTTAAAGATGGTTCCTTTTTAAGTATTCTGATATATATATATATCTGATATGGCTGTTTAGGCCGCTTAAAAGTTGCCTTTTTATAAACGGACATGATTTTGAGGCGACTAATAACGTCTTTTTTGTTTGTTTATTTTTTCAATGGAAATTCATGCAACAGCGAATTATTTGTCATGTAAACTCGATTCTTCAGCTGTCTTGTCAGAAACTATTTCCTATCGCCGTCTTCAAACCATTCTGTGTTGCGTTGCGTTTCTACCACGGTCTATATGTACTAAAGGGCTTTCACTGTGGCCGACTAATCGACTGGGGTCCCGGCAGACGAAAGAGCTTCATGGACGTTAGTCCTATAGAGACTGTTGAAGTAAATAAATTTTGATAATTTAAGTCATTAAACGCTTCCAGCAACTAGCTTCTAACGTGTAGTTCGTTGAAATTCAACCAAGGAGTAACTTATACATGATGCGTATGTTTGCATTTGATAGGAACGTTTTTGTCCTATAGTTGATTGATACTGCTGTGCTAATAGAAATGGTAATAAAAGGAATGAGTCGAGTTTCCAAGGTAATATGGAGTCATCATTATAAGAATGTGATTCTAGCATCTTCCAACCGGAGTCTTTCTTTTTTGTCACAGCCGACTCCCGTGAGACAAACTTGAAAAGTATTAAAAGATGCCTTTTGTGAAAAGTTTTCACCCGAGACGATATTCAGGGCGCAAAGAAAAGAAGCGAAAAGTGAGAAAGCAGCTGAGCGGACAGAGTTGTAGCAAACACTAGGTTGCCAATTGTCAAGTGTGAAAGGGTTGAATTGGTAAGAACGATGCTGTTCTTCAATCAAACGGAGACAACCTGAGCCGCGTGGCAAGCAAGATTCTCGGGGCTGAGCCCTCGATGAACAAGGATTAGGCGATTAACGCAGACCAAGCAATTAACTATGCTATAAAGTTCAGGTTGTGCATCGGTGAACGAACGTCTTAAGACGTCAAACGTCACGTGTCAAGCAAGATTCGCCGGCTGAACCCTCGATGAGCAAGGATTAGGCGATTAACACAGACCAAAAAATTAACTATGCTATCAATTTGAGGTTGTGCATCGGTGAGCGAACGTCTTAAGACGTCAAAAGTCACGTGTCAAGCAAGATTCGCGCCGTTGAACCCTCAATGAGCAAGGATTAGGTAATTAACACAGACCAAGCAATTAACTATGCTATCGATTTTAGTTTGAGCATCGGTGCTTAACGGTGATCCTCAGGACAACGCGGGAAAAAATACGTTCACGTTGAATACGCTCGTTTCGGCTCTTTATTCCCATCAAATGATTTCCTCGTCTCGTTTTCTGTTTTCTCTGAATTTAGTTCTTTGTGATTAGACTTTGCTGGGTTTCCTGCAAGCGCTTTGCCAAACTTCTTCTTTACCTGTGTTCACCTTTCTTGAACTTTTGGCTGGACCAAGAAGGGACGGTCGTCGCAACCACAAGGCAGCTGCATCAGCTTTCCTACTTTCGAAACGTTGGTCACTAATTTGCACTAACTATGAGTAAAGTGTTTTACAGTTGATAAAGTAATGCTAACGAATTAATGCTCCCCTTACCAACATATTTCGACTGTGTGTTTAGATAATTATTCAAGATTACCTTACATCGACATTATAGTTACTATTGAAGCAATTCACTCCCTTGATGTGACCAGCCGGGCGATTTCTTTCTTCTAGTTTGTAGATATGCTAGTAGTTACTTTGTATGTAATAAGAAGCTGACTTACTTTTATGTCCCTTTCCACCTTATGTAGCAGAACACACTGGCTAAAAAGGTAGGCAGCGTTGCCGAAAGACTAGCACCAAACGACTGCTTATAACAAAAGTGGGATGCCGCGAGATCACGCGTCAGTGGGATATATCGCGTCTGTCATTGGGATATGTCATTCATACTAGTTAAAACAATGTCCCGGATGTGGCTGGATCTCCGTAAATGCTGTTAGTTATTTATCCACAAGATGGCTGATGTTCCCCTGCGAAAGGGCAACAGAGAGAGAGAGAGAAGATGGAATCTTCTCGTGTGTCCTACTGCATGTGAGATAAATGAAATAGAAGTTTATTTTTATTTTAATGTGTTATCTTATTGTGGGTGTCTCATTTTGTTTATTAAATGGAAAATAAAATCTTTTTTCTGGCATGCTGGTCGTCTGTTCTGTATGCTAATTACCTTTGTCAAAAAAGAGCTGTAAGTTTCGATTGCACTTCAGTTTTATTTTGCTGTTTTCTTTCTTTGGAATAAAACATTTCGATTTTTCTTTTACACCGTAAATATAGCGTTTTTCCAAGTTACAGTTTATGATTAATAATTTACCAGGCCCAAGTTGTTCGAAAGGTGGATCACGCTATCCACCGGATACTTATCCACTGGGTAGCGATTTATCCGGTGAATCGCGTTATCGAGCCTACGAACAACTGGGACCTGTAGTTTACACGATGTTCAGTTTGCAGCAAAGGTAGGTTGATAATGGTTTTCATACGTGCAATTTAAAGTTAATAATAACTTGAAGATGAACTGTAGAATATGGCGCTGTTAATTTGAGGTGACAGATATTGAGAAACAGCGCGCAATTAATTTCTTAATCAATCTCCGATCAAGAGAAAAAAATAAAGGCCGTTTAAAGTAGATTATAATCGTACACGAAAATAGCAAAGAGGGGAACCAAATTGCAAGGGGTTGAGATTTGGTGGTGATACGGACTTGTTTTGTAAATTTTTGTCACCGAAGTTTCTCAGAGCTTAAGGCGTATTAGTAACGTATTTGTCCACTAACAGATCACGTGTTACTGGCATGAAACAAAGCCATCTTCGTTTTCTGTTAAGGCAGGTGTCGTTCTAGCTTTCCTCCTCCCTTATAAGGACCAATTGCGTCATCACGTCAACTTGTCGAATCCTGATTGGTTCAAACTGGCGTCGTTTATGTTGGGTTGTGTGCGAAAGTAGACAACAATTCAACAGACGTTTCCCGCGTTAATTGCTTTTAAACACACTGTGACGCAAGTCGAGCAACTCAAGACTTATGCACCTGTTTAGCTTTGTCATAACGGAGCTAATGGTCCGTGTTTTCATTCTTTTATAATAGTGATAATATCGGCCTGGGGAAAGATATGGTGTTGTAGTTAACTTATTAAATTCTTATTAAAAACAACTCCCGCAGCAAAACTTGTAATCGTTGTGTTGTTTTTCGTTCTCTTTCTCTGGGTATTTTTTTGGTTTTTTTGGAATAAATTCTACACTATTTTGTGAAATTTATACCACTGTTGTGTTGCAGATGTTCAGTGACTGATCAGCAATATTCTACTTTTTTTTAAATGATTGATTCGTGCACGTAATGGGTTTTATTCGTGAACACTAAATTCACAATGAAAGCTCGCCCTAAAGGTTGTCTTTTGTTCCATTATACTTTACTTCAAACTCGGAAAATTGAGTCCGTTTAAATAAGTTAATGCTTGCCAATTGAACTCTTTAACCAACAAGAGTTCTACACATGACAGAAAGAGCTTAATTTGAAACATTTTGTCGAAACGATATCGACAATTGGAATTATTCTTGTGACGCACAAGTAAAATCGAGTAATACCTCGTTACTATACCTATAACCCTGTAATTACGTTTTGTAGCATCACATTTGAAGCGATTACTCGGTGGAATATGCATAAACATATTTATGCACGTAAATGTGTGTGGGTTTTTTCTTTGTAGTACAGAATCGCCTAAAGCTTGTAGTGCTTAAGCGAAAGATGGAACGAAACAAAGAGACCTGTGGATAGAGACGGACAAACAAATGAGGTGGATTTTCAGAAACGTACTTTTTCTATGTCCTTGTTGGCGCGGTGAATGTTAACTAGCTTTTCTATGCTTAATTAATACGTGCGCAAAATAAACGAGAAAATTAATATAGTCAGGTTAGACACAGACATCTTTACAGCTTGCGTCTGCGACATACAGCTCGGTTCCTCGTATGTCATAGTTAAGGTTGATCTCCAACGTTTGCCTTGATCGCTCTTTTAACCTGATATACTTTCATCTTGTGAATGACAACTAAGCTTAAAGTATGGCAGTACAACGCCGATTAGAGAACCTAACATTCGTTATCATCTCGACATTAACAATTCGTTTATTTCGTGATAAATCGTCAGTTCTAGGAATCTGTTTCTTGGTTCCTTTTCCGTCGGTGAGAATTAGAGCCATATCATATACTTACTATTTTCAGGTCTAGTCTCAATCATAGCATTTTTTACGCTTGGTCGTTCGTTAAAATTACGTACTCATAATACCCTTAAGTGCCGTATAAATATAGGTAATCATACTGTTTTTCTCGTTCAATTTGGAATTAATTTGCACGAGTGAGTTTTTCAAAAAAATCTGAAATAGCACGAGCCGCTTCGGTTTTGAAAAACTCACAAGTGCAAATCAATTCCAAATTGAACGAGAAAAACCGTATGATTACTTATTAATAATATAAACATGAAAAAATTCTCGTGGAGGAAGTGCCTCTCATTCGAGAAAACTTTTTTCAAAGTTTCCGCGCTAAATACTCGTCATCATTTTACGTGATATCATTTTCTCTCATTCCTATTTTCTTTCAGCTAATCATAGTCTAGAATTACGATGTGTAATTTGCACTGGTGTTACACTTTTTGCACTGGTGTTACAGTTGAACTCCACTGCTCCACAGCCAATCAGAATCGAGTAATTTTTTCATGTATATTATTATGCGTTTAACAAGGTTTAGACTGGGGACATTAGGACATTTATGATTGAAGACTACACTGAATTCAACGTCTTGGCTGACTAGGTCTGTGGCACAATGTATATTGGATCTGGTTCGAGTACGAACGTTTTGGCCTGAACAGCGCAGCGACCTTAAAATGAAGAGCAAAACTTTAGCAGACAAAGCAAGCCTCCTGTGGCTAAAATGACATACAAGTCTAGGATACTGACCTACTGTTGTGTGGGATAAGGGATCTATAAGAAGAGAAAGTGAATGTTGTTGTTGTTTATAGTGGTCAATGCGCTTAGCTACACCTAGCTAGTTCACAGGCATGCCACTTAAACTAAAAGAAACAAATATATTAACTTAATAGACTTAAAACTTCCAACTGGCGCGAGACAGACCAGTTGGCTATTTACAAGCATGACTGAGGAGTTGAACTAGGGTCTACCGAGAAACAACTCCAGCTTAGTGGTCAGAGCGGGACTTGAACCCGCGACCTCCGGATTTCAAGTCCAGCGCCCTAACCACTCGGCCACGCTGCCTCCTAAAAGTACATAAACTAAGCCAGCCTAGTTACTTACCGTAAAATTTTGAAGGCGTGGCTTGAAATTTTTTTCTCCCCTTAGAGGAACTAATGCTTACATAACACATAATCTCCTTGTCATATTTTTTTCTGCTCAATACCCTAAAAGGTACCGCAAAGGCTCTCGCTGTGGACCTTTGGAGGCTAAACACCCTAAGAGGGAGCAAAACCGTGTTTTTAACCCCTGAGAGGTACGACGAGTACCCCCGTCATTTTTGTACGGGAGTCCCCCCGGGTCTGAGGGAGTTGTCTTGGGTTATTGATTCTGATGTGGTTCATCTCAAAAGAAAGTATCCTCTAGTGATACTTAACTTTAAGTCGTTTTGAAGGTATAAGCATGGGCGTGGAAAACAGAACCTTAATTTATGATTAAAACAAGCCAAACTACTAATAGAATTAAGGGAAACACTTGCTTGGAAGATCACAAATTAGCTTATATCATACGTTCAGCAATAATTAGTTGATCAATTCTTAGTCATTGGAACCTTTATCCATTATTATGAGCTAAATATTCGGTCAATTTGTATGAAATTTGGACACCAAAAAGATCTTTGAGAGATCTTCATATTGCATACCTTCCTTCCTACATCAGCCTTGATTAACCCCTTCCCCCCCCCCCCCCCCCCAAGTTTTGCAACTTTTGCCTGTTTCACTTTTCATTTATGGTCATGTGAATATCTGATTCGAGCTGCAAATTAAGTTATTGTTTAGTGCTGTTCCCAATACAGACAAGGAATAGTCAAAAATAGGGTATTATTGAATGTTTTTATTAACTGTGTCCAGTTTGGACGTTCTTCAATTCAATCTGTGACATCCTGCATGTGATAATTTATGACATAACCCAAACAATACTTTTAAGTTGTTATATTGCTTGTGGTCTCTGGATCTCCATTTATCATTTTAAAAAAATTCAGTATCCCCACTGTGGGTTGAAGTTAACTGGCATGGGCTTCTGGTTTACGGGTACTCCCAATACATACATACATGGAATAAGGTATTTTTGAACGTTTTGGACGTTTTCTAATTTAATCCATGACATCCTGTTTGTATATTGTGGTAATTTATGTTAGTTCTGGTCACTGGGTATACAGTTACCATTTTAGAAGAATGCAGTATTCCTACCGGGGGCACAGTTAACTAGAACCGTAAAATCCATACAAAGTACGTCTCCAAAATATATACAAGTACTATCCAAACAGAATCATATCGACGACTTTTTTTATTGGCGAGGATACATTTCAACTTCCCCAATCCAAGACGTATTCTTGTTTTGCATGATTAAAGAAAAGACCCCTCTGTGTCTTTAGAGGCTTTTACATGTCTGGTTTCCCAGGCCAGGGGCCTTTTTCTTCGAAGAATCCGGTAAACAGCCACCTAAATTTTGGACAAGGGGACACTGAGCACGGAAGACGTCCCAGAATGTTATGTAACCACAAGTTTTTCGGCAAAAAAATTCGTCAGCGAGTGACCATTTCAAAGCAAAATTATCAGCAGTCTTTTTTTTTTTTTTTTCATCTGAGTTGAAACTCCCAGTGATGCAGCAGAATATGCCGTGCGGATCTTTTACCTATCGGTTCTGTTGAGGGCTCTTGACGAACAAGTTAAATTGCACTTAAACGAATGAGTTCGAATCATCTCATTGCAGTTAAGAAGCTGGCTCGGGATCATGTCCAAATAAAAGAGAGCTTACGGCCGATTTACACGGTACAACTTTGTCGCATGCGACAAGCCTACGACAGGCCTACGACATCACTTAGGACCATTTACACGCGCACAACATTTTCACTTACAAAATTAAATATGCAAAACTGTTTGCACCGGGATTCTAGCAAGCGATAAACAAATATTTTAGCTGTCCTGCGATTTGAAAACCTTCCTAACGAGATGTTTTTCGCTTTAATCCGTTCAGTACTTTACGAGAAACGACTTCATGTGAATCAGTCAACAACAACTTCGTCCGCCATTTTGAGGCAAGAAAACTTCACCCTCGTCCCCTACTCAGTAGAAATTTGTCACAAAATACGCCATTTTCTATCGATTTCGGCTACGATTGTAGCAGCGTTTTAAAGCATGTTTTAAAATCCTACGACATTTTTTTGACGTACACAACAGTCGCAAGCGAGTTGTAGGTTTGATTTACACGGAACAATTCACGTCGGAGGCCTGTCGTAAGCTTGACGCGTGCGACAAAGTCGTACCGTGTAAATCGCCCCTAAGCAAACCACAACGACGACGGCAACGAGACCACCACCTGTCAAAAGGTTTAATGAGGAGAACAATAGCTGCGCACGTGCGTTATAAATCTTTGTACATTTCTTTAATTGCCGTCCTCTACAAACCAAGATCGCGAAATGACGGAGTTCTGCGTAGTCTGACGAACGCCAACGACGACGGCTTATCTTTCGTATTTCCATTTGGAATTGAACGCTGGCATTGCATATTTAGCTTGAGCACGTTTTTAGAGCCATTGGCATATCGAACAGATCAAGACAATTGCGAATTTCGCTGGTAAAAAATTAATTCAGAGATCTAGTATTTTCGGTGGGAGACGGGGCGGTTTCTCCTTATACGGTACAAAGGGGATGTTCCAATGCCCTTGTAAAAAGTGGTTTTCATTAGTGAAACAGGATAAACACAAGTGAAAGCAAGGCCGCCTAGGAGGTAAGAACAACAGTGATTGAAGTATGAGAGAAGTACAACTATACAAGAAACAAACAAAATAATTCATTCGTCTCCTGTTGTCCTCACTAGGAAACACAAACGTAAAGAAACATTATGAGAGCGCCCAGTTCTTTTTTTTTCTCTACTAGGACAACACAAAAGAGAATATATGTTTGTTCATGCTTGGGCTGGTGTTTATTAGGGGAAACGGGCGTTTGAGAGGCCTAACTGGCTGGACTACTGTACTTGACTCGGGAATTAGCTCTGAGCAACTCGCTTGCTGCGGGAAAGGAACTTGTGACGGGTTCTAAAGTACCGTCGGCGGATCTGCTACTGAAACCAGGACACTCAGAGAACTTGGATTTCACACGTTTATTCTTCTTACTTCGCTACACGTCTTCGATTTACAACTCTTTGATGTAAAAATCGTAAATCGTGAGATGTAAATCGTAAATCGTCGAGATGTAAATCGTGAATCGCCGAGATGTAAATTGTAAATCGTTGAGATGTAAATCGTAAATCGTCGAGGTGTACATCGTAAATCTTCGAGATGAAAATCGTAAGTCGTCGAGATGTAAATCGTCTTACACTGAACAGAGTACTTTACTTATACTAACGCAATACACGATTGCATCATGTTAGGAACAAAATAAAGACGGCTAAATAAAGTCAGCTTGAAACTAATGACAACCTAAAAGGTATGAATAGACATCTGAATAGAGTCGGCTTCATTGAAATCGTCAACTAACTAAACTCAGTTTGCAAGATAAATGTGTCAACAAGACTTAACAAAAGTTATATGCGTAGGCTGTATATTCAGCGTAGAAAGCTGCATAAAGACACATTATTTTTCGGCTAAAGTAAAAGGAAACTTGAAACTAAAAGAAATTTACTTATATCATGTTTTTCTCATTTCACAATATTTTAACATGAACAGCGACGACCATTACGCGAGTGTATTGAAACTTATTTTCTTAAAACATAATATAGAGTGCCTATCGCAAGTCACTGTTTACGGCGGCAAATGCATATGCGATGTTCATTTCATCGTGTAACTTCAATATTATTTTGATGGGTTGATATTAGATCGACTTGTTAATCAAGTGACAATCGCTCATAGAAACTATATGAGTTTTTTTATAACTTAGTTTGTGCTAAGAAAGAAGCGCAAAATTGCCTTTTTCATTCGTTGATAGTACAGAGTCCCAAGTGAAATCAAATCATCACCACCACTGAACTTTTAATCAAATGGGAGCTTCACCCCTCGCCAAACTATCTAACAATAGGCCATATTCGTATTCTCGGTATTGGACTGGGACTAGCTTGCAACTGAGGTCAATGCGGGAAGTCTTTTCAAATGCAAATGATATTATTCTATGTTTAATGATTTTTCCCCCGCATGAGCCTCTATTGCAAGCTAGTTCCAGTCCAGTACCGAGAATACGAATATGGCCTATTAGACTACAAGCCCGAGTTTTCTAAGAGCAGATAGTCAACGATCGAGGCGTAGTCGAGTTGACTATCGCTCGTAGAAAACTCGAGCTCCTAGTCTAATTGTTTTAGTATAAATTTACCTTGGTCTTACTGCAAAAAAGGTCAAGTAACGTGTAGAAAAGAACTATTTCATTGTGTTACATCAGGCAATTCAGAGGGTTTCGAGCGTTGCGCACGATGTGCACTGCTACGTGTAGAAAACAATTACGTGTACAAGAGAAAAATCACGTGTGCAACTGTTTTCCCTCAGCGGGGATAGTAAACGGTAATAGCGCCAACCAAATTCACGGATTCACAATAGACTAGGGTAAATTTATGCTGAATACCGAAAAAAATGAAAAATAAAACAAGATCGCACGCGCGAGGCTCTTCAAAGAGAACACTGTTCTTAACATTTGGCTTGAAAGGAGGAGGCGAAGCCTTATGGTTAGCGCGACTACTATTGCTCTGGACAGAGCGCGCCTCTCTCCGCCTAGGTGCATAAATGGATACCATAAGGCTGGTCGTGGTTATTACTTCATGTACGTCTTCAAGCTCAACAAAGTTATTGGAATCTGTCCATGGGGCTACCCGACGCGATAGATTTGCATATACCATTCGTGGAAGGAGGCTTACGGAGATAGATTCCAGATCATTTCAGTCTATCCGTTCTCGCGCGTTTATCATTTCTACCTGGAGCGGAGAAAGCAAGGGATGTTGCTCTCAAATCCCACATGCCTTTTCTTGTTAGTAGAAGAAACACCGGCTCTTTTAGGAGCCACCACATTTAATAAATGTTTTAAATAACCAACATATTTTCCCTGAGAGCTTTTAATTTTGTAACTCATCCCTCATCGTGACCCACAGGACACCGAAAGCCATTCAGAACAGCCCTCCAACCATCTCGGTCTCTCGCAGACCCTGTTGCGGTCCCCCATGACTGCCATCCCATCTCCTTCCACTCCTCTACACTCCTCCTCCGGGTCGCTCGTGGCCTGCCCGGTCTTCTTTTGCCTTCTGGTGCCCAGGTCAGTGCAGTTCTGGGGATGTTATTGCCGTATCTTCGCACGATGTGTTCAACCCATCTACATCTCCGTATCCCTATCTTTACAGAGAGAGGCAGCTTATTGGTCCGTCTGTACAGTTCCTCATTTGAGATTTGGTTTGGCCAGAACACTCTCTGTATCTTTCTCGTGCATTTCCTGTGAAAAGAATCCAGTTTGTTCACGACTGCAGCTGTGATTCTCCACGTCATTGCCCCATACAGTAAGATGGCCACTACATTAGTGTTGAAAATGCGCAGCTTAGTCTTAGAGCTGTACTTAATGATCTCCATAGGGACCGTAATGTGGCAAAAGCACTCCTTGCGAGGGCCACTCCTTGTTTGATGTCCACCTCTGTGCCGTCTTACTTATCTAACACTGCATCGAGGTATGTGAATGCTTCGATGACTTCTAGGTCATTGCCGCCAACAGTGATCGGATCGTTCTTTTTGCAGTTCAGGCGCATGGTCTTGGTTTTGCCGGGGTTGGTGTTAAGACGTACTGCTTTAGCTATGTCGTGAAGGCGGGATGTCTTCTCCTGGATGTCACTGTGCCTGCTTGCTAAGAGTGCGATGTCATCCACATAGTCCAGGTCTTCTACTGAGGACAGTGGTGAGATTCCAACGCAGTCCTTTTCTTTTGTCGTGTGTTTCTCATGAGCCAGTCAATCAAGATGACGAAGATGTAGCCAAACATAACGCAATCCTGCTTCACGCCGCTTCTCACTTCGAACCAGTCTGACGTTCTTCTACCCTCAAGGATGTTGCTTAAGCTCTGATCATACAGGTCTCTGATGATGTTGACGTACTTACTAGGGATGCCGTAACCTTGCATGACGGCCCGTAACTTTTCGCTGATGACACTATCGAATACTTGTCTGAAGTCAACGAAGCCTGTCATTCCATACATTGCTCATGTGAATATCTGTTCCAAAGTTCCCCTCCCTCGTCTGAAGCCAGCCTGTTCCTGGCGCAGCCTCTCATCTATACCCTTCTTCATTCCGTCAATCAGAATTCTACAGAAGATCTTCGATGACACTGATAGGAGAGATATACCACGGTAGTTGTGACACATGGTCAGATTCCCCCTCTTAGGGATTTTCGCGATGAGCGATCTTCTCCAGTCTGATGGAACTTTCTGCTTGGCCACAATCTTATTAAAGAGCTTCTTCACTGCGTCGTCTTGCCTACAACTGAGCATTTCAACGCTGATGAAATCCATTCATAAGCTTTTTCCATTCTTTAGTCTTGTAATGGTACCTCTTATCTCGGCCTCTGAGGTTTCTGATGTTGTTATCTTTTGTAGCTGCTGCGCAGCAACAGCACTAGTGCCATCTGGTAACTCAGTTCCTGCAGAACCTTCATCGAGCACTTCTTCAAAGTGCTCCTTCCATCTTTCAAGGATTTCCTCTTCATTCATTAACAGCTTCCCACACTTGTCTCTGACGGCTGTCACTGTTTGTCTTTTCCTTCGTTAATCAGTAGAGGTAACCGATGTTATTGTCCCTTGCTGTGCTTTCCGCTTCTTCTGCAATGCTGTCTATCATTTTTCTCTTGCCTGCTCGTGCACTCGCTTCCACCTCCTCGTCCTTTTTCTGTACTCCTCTCTCTTCAGCTCTTTCAGTCGCTCAGATCTGACTCACCCAAGCTGATGTTTGATCTGCCTTCTCCCATCCATTCTCCTGTATGTTTGGGCTCTAATCCAGTTTGAACTGATCCTTCTCCTTTCTCCGAGAACAGCATCTGCACTCTCACAGTATACCTTCTCCAATTGTAGCCAGTCTTCTTCGATGCTATCATCCTCATTGCTGGCCAATGCTTCAAATCTGTTTTTCTTCCAACTCCTTGCCATCCCATCACTCTCTCTCACCGAAGGTTGTCTTGGCCCACTTTGGCGTTCGCGTACCCCATAATAATCAGCACGTAATGCCTGGTTGCTCTTTCCACTTCTCTTTGCAGCTGTTCGTAAAATTCGTCCTTAACTCTCTCTTCTGGGTTGGTACGTAGAGCACTATTATTGTGAGCTTCGCATATCGAGAATTGAATCTGGCACTCGTAATCCTGTCGCTCACTGGGTTCCATCTGAACAATGCCATTCTTGCCTTTTTCTACAGGATGTATTCACCTGTGCTGGTCCTCAACTCCCTAAACCTAGTGCATCTCATTTCACTCAGTCCGAGTATGTCCAGTCTATATTTCCTGAACTCTTTCATCACATTGGCTGTTTTGGCCACCTGTAACAACGTTCTGATGTTCCAGCAGCCAACGCTGAGAGCTGACTCCGGAATTATCAGAGATGAAGATGACAAGGTGATCGGGCTCCTGGATTCTTCTTTCATGGCTTTCTCCACAAACCGTCATAAAAAATAATTGCAGCTCCGAGATTCCAACATAGGAAGTGTGCTGCACGTTGCCCGCTTGCATCCGTAGATGGATCTTGCATTTAATGTTCACAAAATCGATTATCGATACCATCCAGTTCGACAGCGTCAGTCAGGTTTGACAGCGTCCTCAAAACTTGACAGAGTCGCTTTTTACCTATAAATTTAGCAACTTGGTAGTTAGAAAGCGTCACTAGCAATCACAAAATAAGAAACACAATGACTTTCTCAGAAGGTAGTTGTTGACGTAAATGGATTTGACTAATGAACTTTTTTTGGCGGCTGTGCGTTCTGTATTGAGAACGCGAACCGAGACGGCGATTCTCAAGAGGTAATAAATATAATTTTGAATGGAAGTATGTGCGAGTGATGATAATAAAGTAAGTGGATAGCGTGTCGGGCGGTCACCAATCCGTACAGATTTAATTTAGAAATCTCAACTTTTTTCTCAGTGTGATTTAGTATATTTTTTTGAAAACTTTTAAAAACGATTCTAAAACCAAACAAATGTTTAATTACGGTGGCTTTATTTAGCGTAGTACTACCCGAGCGGCACAAATAGTGTGCTATTAATGTGTTGTGGGTGGTAGCTCAGTAGCGATGTTCTCATTATTTTTAGATATCTTGAGGACGATTCACTTTTGGCGGATGTCGCCGACATTAATTATTGAAAGGTCTTGAAAGACAACTCGAGCATCAACAAGAAATAGGTGGACGTTTGAGCGCTACAGAGCCTGGACGCTTCGAATTCACACTCAACCCGCACGTGGATCGTCCAAGTGAGAGAATGGGGGTCAGAGAACGCCATTATACCCCTGGTCTGCGTCAAGTTGGACAGTAATTTATTAGTAGCTCTGACCGATGGATTACACCGTACTGTCCGAAATTTGATTCTTCAGGACGGGATACCTGAGCAAGATCAACATGGCCAGCAACGGTTTAAACAACAGCTATGCTTATTGAGGGTTACCTGCCGGTGAATGGTTGAAGATGATTTCCAGTCCCTACTGCGCACTCTCGAGTGTTTGTTTACGTTTTTTGTTTTGTTCAATGTGAAACATCACAAAATGTAAACATTTCGCAACCACTTACATGAAGTACATTCCATGCTTCGTTCTTTCTCATATCACTTGATAAAACAACTTCGCAGCTGTAAAAATCAATGAAGCTGTTGGAAAAAAAAAAAATTGAAAGGCCTCAAGGGGCGGATGCAGGAGTTTTTAAGGGGAAGTGAGTGGCTAATACTTTGGGGTTGCAATTTGTAGAATTGAAACCTAATTTAACACTGTTACAACAGAAACACTAGCAATGCCACAAACTAGAAATTACGATGGAGTATCTCTCCAGAGTTTTTGCCTTTATTTCTGCCAAGATATCATATTCACAATCTTTCCTTTATGCGTAACCAACAAGGGGGTAACTAGCCACCCAGTCCACACCCCCCTAAATCCGCCCCTTGAATGACTCGTTTCAACTATCTTTCATCCACGTTTCGGTTCACGTCCTCGTGGTAGCAGTACCGAGTACTTACTTACTGCCCTTATGCCTGCTGGCATGTAGGGCAGCAACAAAGGTCCTCCACTGCTGTTTGCTATGGGCTGGCGGCCGGATGGTACCCCAGTTGTGCTTAAGGGTCTTGAACTCTCTTCCACCACTGACATTCATATGAGTATCGTCTTATGTCTCTGGAGGCCCGTCACACCCAGTAGTTATAGTTTCCTTTGCTGCTGTTTCCGTAACAAAAACCTTTTTATGGGACTGGGTTGTTAGTCCTGTGCCTAACCCCCAAACGTGGAGGGCCAATGGATCACTTTTTGTCAGGCCTCTACCCTTTGACCTTTCCGGCTTTTGATGTCCCTCTCAGGAGACGAAATCTCCCGTCGGCATAGCTCTCAGGGTCATTGAGACACACAAGCCCCTCGACCACGACAAGGTTGTGATCCCACGGGGTGTCGTGGTAGCAGTATAAAGAGAAAACTGAAACTTGGACAATCTGAATCAAACTGAATCAAACTAACTGCGATCATCATCAAGAACGAGGCTGAACAGTGCTGTGCTTGTGCCATTGCCACGGCTAAAGCTAACGTGGATGAAGCGATCAGGTTACATGAAGAGAGTAGAATATCATCAGCTCCGAGCGGCTATAAGCTCCATTGGCGCCATCGTTGTACCTAACTGTTTACAAAATTCGTTGTTGTTTCTCCCATCAATACAGTGTCACTCTTCAATTCAGGTAAACGAGCCATCGAGTGGAGCACTAGTATCTACTTCGGCGGGCGAATAATCGTTGTTTATAGCGTTATCTCAGGGTATCAAAATGAAGGGAGGAGAGAGCCGCCTTGTTGGGTAACCCAACTCGTAACAACTTAAGACTATTTTACTTCTTGTCAAAAATCTGTAGCTCGAATCAGCCTGCGAGCAGACTCACTTTTAAGTCACGCGCGCGAGCGGCGAACAGCAAAGCAATCCGGCATTTCGCGCTCGCGGGTACGCCACGCCCGCTTGTGCTCCAACGTGAGCCTGCTCGCAAGCCAAGCTCGAATATGCTGTCTAATTTTTTTGGTATTCATCTTATCACCGACACGTTTTTATTAAGGCTGGTTTTCACTAGAACATAAGCACAAGCACAAGCATAAGCATAAGCACAAGTGAAAACATCCGCGACATAAACATAAGCATAAGCAGAAACATAAGAAGAACGAACCCACTTATTTGTCTTGTGTAGTTTTCACTAGTAACGCGCTCGACATAAGCATAAGCATAAGCACAAGAAAAACGAACAGTTCCGTTTTTCTTGTGCTTATGCTTATGCTTATGTCGAG